TTCAACATTTTAGGGAAAATATTTAACTATTTCTTAGGTAAGGATTTGAAGATTCGAATGATCTCAGCATGTTGGTCATTATGTTAATTGTGCGGAGAAACAAAATTAATTTTTAAGCAAAACCCTAAACAAGTTAATAGATTAATTTTAAATAAATATTATTTCTCAAACAACAATTTTTCTTCAGTGCCCGTTGATGTGTGAAAGTTTTCAGATTTTACATTATGCCCATAGGGGCTTTGTTTTAATGTTTTGCACGTCTCCTTTATTTATTAAATATCGTGTTCTTCGAACCTAAACCATAAAACTCAGTTCAATAAGAATATCGCAAAATAATTTTAAATTGAGCATATCTTTAGAGTTTCCGATACACAGTCTCGCGTGCTGGAGATAAAAAAAAATTTTTTTTTTCTTCCTACAACGTTGCATTTCCTCTCTTTGAAATCCTTGAATTTCTTAATCAAACTCATAAATGTTTTACAAAATATGATTATAATTAAAAAAATGCAAATTAGGGCTTCCAGATACCCATTTTCAGATGGAGGATTACATTATTCAAAATTGGATGGCTCTAGGTTTCACTGTTTTATCACAATGCGAGAAATATGCATACATTTATGCAGAATCTTTATTATTTAATTTCTTTAAGTATAATGCAGAGTTCTAACATTTGGTGGCAAGAATTTGAAAAGTTACATGCTGTGTATAAATTCGATGCAAAATGCCAAAACGAAATTAATGGACCTTCTGGGCCAACGCCTTTTGTGCTTAAAAAAAAAAAAAAAAAAATCTCAATTTTCTTTAAAATAACAATTTGTAATTTACTCAAATAACATCTCTTTATGCAATTGCAGACCAATACTTCCAATTCATTTCATTTTAGTAAAATAAAACAAAAGTTTTTTGAAGTAGTAGATACAGGACGTATTTATTCACATTTATATGCAATCATGTTAATCACATATTCATTAATTTATTTCAAAAGTTTCTTTATATCCCAAACCTGTCTCATTATTTTTAAAACTATATCAATTTGGACTTGTGGCTCTGGAATATTCATAAAAATCTATCTTGCGGCTCCCATTGTCTTGAAGTTGAGCCATCCCTTGATGCGCAATTATGAAATGTACAAAATAAATTTTGTTACGTATAAAATGAAGTTAAGTAAAATAGCAAAGGATAAATTGGTGAAGGTAAAAATTTGCTGTATGAAAGAAAAAAAATCTTCTCACTTTCGATTAATATTCTTTTAAATTAAAAAAATTACTTTTCACATATCATTCATAAATATTTATCAGGCATTAATAAAAATGAGAATAACAAATTCCAGATGAATGACAGTAATAGTGTATTTGAAACTTTAAAGTTCAAAATAAATCTCGCATTTCACCATTTGTAACAAGGTACGTAATCATAAAGTGGCTTCAAAGTGTTGGTACACTTATGAGTTTCAGTGAAATATTGCTTTATTCATTAAGCAATATTTCACTGAAATAATTGAGATTTATAGTGATTAAAAAATTCACACTTTATGAGAATTTTTTAATCACTATAAATCTCAATTAGCGAGAATATATTATTTTAAGAAAATAGTAAGTTTTTTTTTCGGGGGGAAGGGGGGGGAATAATAACCAAAAAGTAACTCATTTATTACTACAAATGGGGAAACAAAGTTGTTATATTTCAAATTTGATTTTTTGCAATGAATTTACAGGTTTTAATGTTATGTTATCAGCAAGAAAATTTTTTTAAATAACAATTTAAACAAATTACAGATCAAGGAAAGACCATTTATATTAAAACATAAAATTAAAAATTTTCTTATGATCTCAACATACAGAAAAAAAATAAAGGGGAAAATGGTTGTTTACACGTAACTGAATATAATCTTTTCAAAAATTTAATTCTAAAAGTCACAGCTGAATCATTTGAATGTCTGATGACACAATTTCAAAACATTCAAGTTTTGACGAAAAATAAAATCTGGTTCATAAACAATACTCAAATGAAGTAATTAATTTGTCTTTAGCACTATCAAGAAGAACCTGCCAAGTTATCGAGTGACACAGGTTTAAATTAGTTTTGCAAACAATCATTAAAGGAATTTTAGTTGACAATTTAGAGCAGAATTTTGAAAGATTGAAGAGGCATTTTCATCATTAAAATTTGATATCTTAAAAGTGTAAAGTGTTTTACAGAATATAAATTTGGTTAATTCTGCAAAACATGGAATAAGCTCTACAATCTGCAATATCAAATATCCACCTAAGATTTAAAAATTTAACATAAAAGTAAACAAGCATACCCAGCTAATTCATAGAATTATTCAGCTGTGTCTTTAACCTTCCAGAACACATGCTATGCACAAAGTTTACGAGAAATCCAGATTTTAATGCACACTTCTCACATATCGCAGCTAAAACGTCTAAATGTCATTTCTATTCCTCCTTTCAACCCTTCCCCACATCAGAGTATGCCAACAGAAAGTGATATGACTTTTTTTGTTTTTACTGGGCTTTTGCGCTGCAGCTTCATTGTAAAAGTTACGTCATGCACGTAGTTGTGAATGAAAATTAATTTTTATATATGTTTTCATGCCAAAAAATTATGTGCAACCAGCTGATTTTGCTCCCTTTCTTCAAAAAGTATCTGATGAAGAAAAAGAAACCTTTGAATGTGAAAATAATAGCAATCTGAGTGAGGAAAATATAAAGATAAATAATATCAGCACTGAATCTAGACATTAAATTTCAGATGCTGATAGTATTAATGATATAGAAAAAAGGAATGATGATGATAAATGCTTTGTTAGTAAGGATAAATCTTATAAGTGGCAAAAACAGAAGTATGCAAATTGCACAAAGAGACATAAGTTGAATATCGTGAGCATTACCCAGCCTAAAACATTATGCCAAGAATATAAAGGATGAAATGGGAACATTTTTGAAAATAGTTGATATAAATATGCTTGATGAAATTTGGAATGTGCAAATAAATATATAAGTTTACTAAAAGGCAAAATACTCAGGACATAGAGACTGCACTGTTACCCGAGTGAAAATGATGGCCTACTTTATATTGTTATATATGACAGGAATAAAAAAAAAAGGGGGAATCATGTAAATGCAAAAGGACTGTTCTCAAATGATGGCATTAGAATTGAAATAATGAGAGCTATGATGAGCTGCAAGAGATTTTTTAATTTCTGACAAGTAGTCTTTGATTCGATGATAAATCAACAAGACAGATTAATATTAAAACTAGCTTAGGTTTTAAAATATAGTTATAAATAATAAATTTCTATAATAAAATACATCGTCTTTCCACCTGAATAACAGCGTTTAAAAATAATTTACTATCATTTAAATGAGACATGATTTGTATTTAACAATAATAAAGTTAATATTTTGTGTTTTAAATTTATTACCAATATTCACTCATTTCTGTCATTTTTCGTGCCAAAAATGATAAAATAACAAATGTCATAAAAAATACGACGCGTGCATGCTCATGTAAAATTCTTAAGCGCACATGCTGGAAGGTTAATACGTGTTAACCCTTTCCTGCACGATACCTTTTAAAGTTGGAATTTCGATTAAAAAATGGTAGGCAGTTTATTCAGGCCTAGAGGAGTACACAAGTAAAATTTTGTAAAAATACCACTTATCCTTTTAATTCTGTGGGGCACACTGATTGAATAGAGCTTCAAAAAGAGTGCTGAAACGAGCATTGCTGAGAAGCACGTAAAAGAGTGAGATTTTGCTTACGATTAAGAAACACTAGATTCTGAATACCATAGCAGATTTACCATTACCCAGGGTGTGCCACGGGGAGATCTGCTACTCTACACCTCCCTAAGAAGCTCAATTTTGGTTATATGATGATTACATGCTTATAAATGGGGAAAAAAATAACTTGGGTATATGATATTTGGATTATTTGCATTATTTACATTTCAAACTTTAATCTATTTTTTGCATCTTGGTACTTTTCGAAGAAAGTGACACCACCTTTGAAAAAGCACAACCTAATCTTCCATGTTTTGCACATGTGCTGGAGATCCATATCAGATCCACTATCTGAAGGCAATTCGTATAGCACTTTGTGCTTTAGCCCTCTCCAATCCATTTGGAAAACAATTAAAAATAAAAAAAACTAATATTATATCTTCAATTTGAAATTATAACCTATAAAATAAAAATATAAATGTCTACAACTCAAAACTATTAAATGTAGAGCTAAGAAACACCTCGGTTCACGGTTTAATTTTAGGCAAGATTTCAAGGTAAAAATTTAAAACTAAACTAGAACAAGGAGTTAATATACAGCCAAAAAAACATTCCTTTTATACCCTAAAAAAATCTGGAAGTTTTCTTTGAAAAGTAAGGGTCTTAAAAAACTAAACATGGCTAAAATATATGGACTGGTTTGTGTTGCCATCATCTATAAAGAAGGTTCAGAGTAACGTCCAAATCCTTTTTCATTCAATTTTTTTGTGCGTACAGAAGGAAATTTTTAAATGTGCTCAGAGACACCATGCTGCAAAGGGTTAAAAGATATTTCCATGTAAAGGATATATGATGCTTGTATATATACCAAAAGAATTGTTTTAAAATAAATTTTATTATAGGCTTAAATAGCTCTATCTATACCAATATTGCAACACTATTTGCTCGGGTAAAAGGAATTGCCATGCAGAAATTTACGCCCCGTTATAAATACTGAATCTACATTTTAACAATTCAGGATACAAAAAGAACTTTGTTCAGCAATAAATGTCAGGAAAGTGTACAAATCACAGATAAGTATATTTATTTATCCCCTATAACAATATTTTAACGGTAAAAAATATTCAATAATTTATATTAAATTTAAGTCTTTTTATCCTTAAAATACCTTCATCAATAAAGAAGTTAACCAAAATGCATAAGATTTTAACTCTAATAATAAAAATTGTAGGAAATGGTGATTTTTGAAATATACAAAACTGGACACCAAAATATTTGTAAGTACATTTATTTATAACAGAAACACAAAACTGAAACACTGAAAAAATTATACAGAACATTTGAATTTACTGATTTATGAAAAAAGCCAAAAATATTTCTAAAATTTATATGTTAAAATAAAAACATTTCGGTTACCAATTCAAAATATTATCATTAACTTGTTCAATAAATAACATAAAAACAAAATGCTATCAAAACAAAACACAAAAAATATTTACTCTTAATATACATAAAACTAGCAAGTTGCTAAATTCTTGTGCATGTCATTTTTAATCTGCTGCTCTTTCATAAAAAATACTTATTTCAAAAAGAGTGCGTGCGTTAATAGAATATAATTTAATATATTGCACAACCTTCAGAGTTTTTCCATCTTTTTAACATAATTAAAAACCTTATTTTACATATGATGAAGAAAAATCTCTCATTCTCAACGTTCGCTGCGAGAGGAAAGAAAAAGAAACTTTACAAAGGACCTACAGAGTTATTTCTCTAAATGTCCTCTCACTCTGAACTTCATTATCTTTAAAAAATTATTTACACATTAACACTAATTCAAAAGTCACATGCAGCAAATAGCAGCAAAAATGCTAGTTTATACATTACAAATGAAACTTAAAGAAAAAAAAAAAAAAAATAAAAAAGATTGGAGAAGAAAGCTTATGTACAACACTGATAAAACCATAGAGCAGTCTTCTACATTTTATGACATGATTTACAAAAATATCCAACAAATGTAGATCACTTAATTGCTGACTCAAAAAATTAAAATTGCATATATACTGTCCAGATCCATATATAGAAGGTGCACGGAATTACTTTGCATGAGTTTTCTCACAGTCAATTTAAATCGGAAAATAAGAATTCAGATTATACATCATTCTGTAAATATTTTCTTAAATAGTCATTACATATCAGAAGCATAAAAAAAAAAAATTGAAAAATGAGATACCTGTGGAGTTGGAATAATTTTATATAACTACCTTAAGAAATTTAAGTCAGTAATCAAGAATTTGAAAAGCTTTTATAGATTGTATTATGTGTCAAACTTCAATAAAAAGAACATTACATTCTTACAAATAGTAATGTATTTCACAGAAAAGCATTCAAGTGCCCACAGTTTTTAGCTTTTGTTACACAGAAGATTTATTTCATAATGATAATGAAAATCTAATGGATTTTAGAGAGCTTTTAAATCACAAAATAATTTGGTGACAAACAAAGAGGAAGTTGATGCACTATGAAAAAATTTTAAATTATACTAAATATGTGAGCTAAATAGAAAACAGGATAGAATTACAACAAATAAATTCATTTAAGGTAAATATCAAGACACTGTAACACAATAATTTCATCTTTACCCATGTTACAATTTATGAATCAGTTCAGTGGACTTTTAAAAGTATGCTTAAAATTTTCACAAAGCAAATTTCAAAAATAACATTATGCTTGGTCCCCAGTATCTAACAATCACAGGAAGAGGTTAAAAATAAGGGAGATACTAGTTCATATATCTTCAGAGGCTGCAATACTGTAAAAGCATTGAAATGAAAGATAGCAAATCAAATATATGCTAATACGTTTTGCAAAATGCAGAATGCTAATTACATTTTTAAAACTTCATTTGGAAAAATGCAATTTGTTTGGAAATATGCAAAGTGTATCTATTCATTAAAAAAAACTAATAAATATAGGAAATTATAAAAGTTAAAAATTTTGACTAATAAAATCTGTAAAAAAAAATTTGGCACAATGCATTCATGTTTTATAGATCTGGATCAGGCATTTCATATATTAAATATAGGTTACTTTGATTACTCTTTCCCGTTTAGAAGCCTCTAAAATAAGCACACTCATAAATATGCAAGCAGATCATCAATCAAATGCACATATATAAATGTCATAACATTTAAAACTCAAATTTGTTTAACTACATGCACTACTGTAAAACCAGACAAGAATTGAAGTAAATCTTAGGCATTTGTATCTAATGCAAAAAAAAAAAAAAAAAAAAAAAAAAAAAATTATCATAATATTGGGTGGAGCAAAAAGGCATTTTAATACAACTAATTATACCAATAAATATTTAATATCTTTACATATTTTAGAATAAGGGATTCACTTGAATACAAGTAATTAAACTAGACATCAACAAATATATAACACCATGGATAATACTTAAAAAACAAATGAATATTTATATAAAACATGAAATAATTGAGAATGAAGCTTTAGGTGACTATAAAAAAAATTCAGTGAACAGGAAAGTTTACATACAAAAACAGTAAAATAGTAAAAAATAATTACACAATTGCACGTTAAATATTCTGAAGACAAGTGAAGCAGAATAAAGTACTGTATTTACACTCTCTTCTCGCCTCTTCCACAATAAGAGTCTAAAATGATTGTCCTACGTTTTCTCAAACAAGTCAAGTCATACATGCTATTTCGTATTATTTATATAATAAATGACAATCACTGGCTCAAAATAACTCGATAACGTTCAGTCTTAAGTGTGCTGTTGGAATTAATTTAATGGGAGAAAAGCACATTTAACAAACAATGCAACTTTACTTCTCCAATTAATGTTACTTTATGTATTGTGAATGACATTTTCTTTCTTTTTATTTTTTTACAAAGTATTTTTATCACTTAAAATCTTTTCAGAGAAATGTATCTTGAACATGTATGGACAGATCATTTGCATTAAATAACATCAACATATTTTCAATAGTTCACCAAAGATAGTTAAAACCATTCAGCATCTACATTTTAAAAGTAAGAACACAGAAATAATCATTTACAATGTGTTTTTGGCTACATTTTACAGATAGAATTAGAAACATTACAATGAAACAGTAGCAATTGTATGTGCTATATATATTTATTCATTTATTTCAAAACAAAATTAAAGATTTACGTCTTCGGACTTTCTTCTTGCTGTTCAGATTTTGCAGAGCTCTCATCTGCGGTGTGTGCCTGTTCGGCAACGGGCCGAACGGGTGGAAAATGTGGTGATGATATTTCATTGCTAATATCTCCAGTACTGTCATCTAAAGGGGGTCTCTGTGGAGACCCACAGTCTGATGAATAATCAGTAGGTGTACTACAACAGTCATCATCCTCACCATCTCTATAAACTTCTGCACCTTTGAAAATGTAACGACTTGGCGGGAAATATAAATAACTGTCATCTGAAATGAGGAAGGAGGAAACACTTTTAATGCCTTATTTTACACAACCACATTTATAGTGATTGTTTACAGCTGGTCTAAAACATTTTTCAATCCCCTAAGATACAATATAAATTATTTTAAAATTTTTAACTGGAAAAAATAAAAATACAACTCGCAAAATGATTAAAAGCTTACCGTAATTTCGCACGTATAGTCCGCACGCAAGATTTTATATTAAAAAAATTTCAAAAATCATCAGATAGTCCGCACCACCGGATAGTCCGCGGACTATACGTCCGAAATTACGTTTTTTTAATATGGCAATATTCCCATGCTTTTTAAACACATCCTTTGTTTGTGCCAATTTCTCACCGCTTTCTCGTCCACTTCAAAATAATGGGGTAAAATCCTAGTATACGGTGCAGCCTTGGCGCGACTTTGAAAATTATCGCCAACACCAAAAATGATCCAAAGAACGTCTATATATATACTATGCACTATATACTATGTGTGTATATACATAGTATATATACTATATATGTAGTATATCTATGTTAAACTATATATTTTTTTAAATGACCCGTTAACTACTCATCGTATATGTCCCGTTTTTACTGCTCATCATAAAGTCGCCAAAAGTAGCCAAATCACGTGTGGCACCGAATACTAGGATTAAACCAATAACGGCCCGCTTCTCTATTCCATCTTTTTCCCGGCGATGTTTCATCAACGTTATCGAAGATGAAAGACAAAATATGAAAACAAAATACTGTGCAACGTGCTATCCTCGTGATAAGTGGTAATGAAATGTGACCTTCGACCCCACTCACTCGGTGTTGCCAAACCACGCTATAAGTAAACGAAATCACGCTTTTTTTTTTTTTTTTTTTTTTTTTTTTTTTGTACTCCAGGTACTTGCTACTAAGGCTCCTAAAAATCGAGCTCCTTGACGCATCAACTACTTTTCCCCCCCTCCCGGCAGTTGCGCTAAAGCAGTGCGAAGAATACTGGGATACAAGACTCTGGTTGCGCTAAGTGAGTGCTCATACCAAGACTCTTTGGCTCATATCCCGACATCGCTTGATGCGCCAGCCTGGATTTTAGGGAGCTCTACTTGCTACTACTCATTCGTTCTGCACTATGCTCTATGGTTTACTATCGATACGATACATACGAATGTTTTCTTGGAATCTCGCGTATTTTTTATATTTGATCATCGGCAGTTCACGACAGCGTGTTTTTTAAATTTCAACGATTTTAACCGTGAACAACCAGCGTATTATCCGCACTGGTGGATAGTCCGCAGCTTAAAAAATTCGCATTTTAAACACAGATAGTCCGCGGACTATACGCGCGAAATTACGGTAATTGTTTAAACACACCATGGATAACATTTTACTGAATGTATAATTACCCTCTCTTTTCTGTTTTCGCAGATTTTTTAAATAAAAAATCATAAGGCTCTTAAGTTTAATTAACTAAGAAATCTTAGTTAATTAAGTAACACATAACATTCAAATATTCCTCACAAACTTTCTTTTTAAAAAAAATGGTACAGTAATACTCACTATAGTTTAAAAAATTCAAAAAATACTAAATTTTAATACAGTAAATATAAATTCTAATATTTGCAGCAGGGAACTATTTTCAATGGATAAATGATTGTTTTTCCTCCTTTACACAATCAAGTATTTTACTGAAATTTAATTTTATGGAATTTTAAAGTTAAGAATGAAAACTATACTGAAGTAATCACATGAGTATTAACAGCTAAACAACTATATAAATTAGTAGATCACTTGAAATCTTGTCGGAGAATATTATGGAAGATATCAGTACTGAACATAAACTTACTGTTTACCAAATGATAAAAAATGCGACACATTGCTACAAGAGAATTTATGAAGAGAGAAAGGCTGAAAAAAAGATTAGGTTAACTGAATATGGCAAAGCTCATAAAGGCTATCTATCTGCATAAAGGATGGATGATTTCATAAAGGAGTTCCTAAGGAAGATGGCTCATTTTATGTTACACATATGGGGAAAAACAGAGATCAAATTCTTTGCGAGGAAGAGGAAAATGTGAACATCGATACTGTAATTTTTATAAAATAAAAAATGAAAATATGTTTTTAAATTATTTCAAATAAATTATGAATTTAGAAATCATGTTTTATTTATTATAAAAAATTCTCTCTTTTAAGAAATTGTCATTTTTGCAGGTATTTGGTTCCTCAATTAGCCCAGTTTCAAAAAGAGATATCAACAGAACCAATTAACCAGACGGAGTTACAGAGAGTATCTCAATTACAGAGACTATTTGCATGTATTTTTAAAATGTTCCTCAGATAATATTATAAACTTTTATTCCTTATTATCACTAATTTTTATTAAATTAACTTTCAGTATTTAAATTTAGTACTTACATAAATCAAGAATTAAAATGGGTTCCAATTATTAATAAGGAATACAAAAATAGGATGGAAGAGATGTACTTGAAAATAAATAAAAGTGGAAAATATTGCATGTGTGTACAATTTTGCACAGTACAATAACTGTGAACATGAGAAAATAAGCATCACCACAAAGTTACAGAAGGAAATAATATCAACAAAGTAAGTATAAAAAATAACTACCTGGTAAACGCTTTGAAATACTCTCTCTACTACTTGTTGGCCATATATGCTTACTGTCATAGACATCTTCAAAATCAGACTCATTTTTTTTACTCGAACTTGTTTCAATGGGAGGTTGTTCTTGATTAGACCCATCTTCGCTATCACTTAATTTAATAGACGACAGACCTCGACAATCACAACTATTGCTTTCCTCACTAGGAGGAATATTGGATGGATCGTATGTTTCGGCTTGTGATGACGATGATTCAAAATTATTATTTACTTCTGCAGAGTCTAGAGATACTGCTTCATTGGCAACAACAGCGGACCTTTTAGATGAAACACTAATGGGAATTTCTTTCAGTTGCGAGCGTGGTATATCTTCATCAATCACCCACTCTGTCTCTAGCCTATAAGAAAAATTTATATCATTCACTTCTGAAATTTGAATGCAAGATTTTTACATAAACATAATGTAACGGCAATAAAATAATTTGATTAACATTTTAAGTAATAACTTTAATACTGACAACTGACACCTGATTTAAATTATGCCTTAATAAATTAATAACTGATCATATGCTTTGAAAAAGAAAGCGTTCATTGTTTCCTAACACACAGACAGACAAAATAATATATGAAAAAAGAAAATCTGGAAAGTGACAGATTGAAGGAAAGTTTGGAATTATTGTCCAGCCTTTGTTATAAAACAACATGTGAAAATACAGTTCATTACATTACAGAAATACATTCAAGTCTAATATTACTGAAATTTAAATTATCATGAGTACCACATGCACATTAACCCTTTAAGGCTGGACATCTGCTGGACAGTGGACATCATTTACTTTTCAAGTTGAATTTATAGTTGGAAAGCATTAGAAAAAGGGACTGGTCGCATTTTGATTCATGCTGGTATCTGTGTAGGAGGCAATTTCTATTTCATTAAAAATGAACGCAAAGCGACAGACCTGCATTAAACCGGTGGATGCCATGGAGCTCGCAAGCATACAGTTGAGAACCCCTGCTCTACGGAATTATGGAAGTAAAATTTTGTATGGATGGCTTCCCAATCCACTAAACACAAAAATTTCTGCCAGTTTCTAATGTATCTGATTTCGGGTTGGATGTTGGAAGAAAAGGTACGAAGTGTCGTTTTGGCATTATGATCAAGAAATTATCATTTATTCATGACATTTTGAGGAATTTAAAATTTCAGGGCCAAATGTACTATGTTCAGAGGGTTAATCATGGAGCATAAGCGCGCATTGGATCCAAAAGACCCAGCTCGTGTTTTTTTAAGAAAAAGTGGTAAATCTTCAAAGTGTTACATCTATGCCAACAATAAATTTTTATGATCAAACTTAAGAAGTATGCACATTAAAATTTTTAATTTCTCCAAATGCTTTTATGAAATAAAATTTCTTACGGAATAGAAAAACATATTACATATAAGCATAGAAACAAAATAGCATACATTTACTCTGAAGTGATTTTTAATTTTCTCGTATAGGTGTTTTACTGTCAACATTAAATCCTACTATTGAACTTCAAAAATACATGGTCTGGTAATCAAAAAAGCAAATGGTTGCAATATCTCTCTTTATACTTATAGCAGCTTTATTGTCTTCCATATAGCTCCCCAATACAATAGCAAGAGCCCAAACTTTTCATATTATCACATACAATAAATTAATAAATTCATTTAAAATGATTACTCAAAAACCTGATATTTCAAAAACTGTACGCCATGGCAAGGAGAAGAATAAACTGGAAATGCACAAAATACTTACCGATGACAAATCTCTCCTATAATAACATCACAATCTCCCAGAAGTTCAATATCAAATGTTAGATGCTTCAAAGGTTCTCTGTTTATTAAAATCTGTGGGACATTTGTTGGTATTGAACCTAATAAACAAGAGAATAGTATAATAAATGTACTGATAATTTTTGGACAAAAATAGATAAGATTAAATGCAACAATATTTGTACCAAAAAACTATGCCAGATTTGCATAACAACTTTATAATTTAGAAACAAATACAATGAAAAACACTTTAAACGCTTAAAAGTTCATACACAGCTTTAAAAGGTTAAATTAATGTTGAATTCTGCAAGCTCTTACATATTGCATCTTCTCTTTTTCTTCAATGCATGAGAAATGACTAATGGAACCTAATTCTGAAGTGAAAAAAAGGACTAACACACATAAACAATACTTTTGAAAATTCTAATTTAAGTGCTTTTGAATGCCAAAAAAGTTACACTACACATTAGCCTAGTGCTCTAAACGCTATCTTTAAAAGAAGAGCTTTAAACGTATCTTAAAAAGACAAATTGTGAATCACATGCTCTTACACATCTGCATAATCAAACATTCAGTAACTACCCCTTCTGCCAAACATCTGTATCACTCGCGGAAAATACTTTTTGACTATACTTCAAAGAACAGCTTCAAGAAATCATAAATTCTCTTTCTCTTAAACATCTCATTTATGGGGGAAGAGGACAAATAGGAACAGTAAACACAACAAACTCAGATCACAGACCCCCAATTTAGAACCACCAATGCTTTTATATACTTTTGATTTAATTTTTCCTTTTTACTTCATAATGACAGATACTACTACAAAGAAGAAACTGATATATAATATATGATATACAGTAGATAATACTGATATATATATATACTACTGATATAGATATTACTGTTATATATTCTACTATATATGATATATAGTAGATTCACAATTTAATGATTGGATTAACCATTCGAAAAATGGTTCATTTTATTTATTGCTGAATGATGGAAAAATTACTACTACAAATTTATGAAAAACAAACAAGAAAAGAAGATTATGTTGAATAATGGCAGTGACTACATATGATGTTATGATACTTCGGAGTTTACAATTCGTAATCCAGAAAACAAATATTCTTGAATCATCTGCTAAAATATAAAAATTCAACTTTAAAAGCAAATCAAATCTAAAACCATTAATTTCATAATTAATGATGATTCCTACCAAAATAATGAATTGATGTTTTACTAAAGAATACAAAAATAACAAAAAAAAAAAAAAAAAAAAAGCAACAGCAAGTGCACCCTAACAAATGGGTAATTAATTGACAAGCACTCTTCATTGGTTTAACCCACCCAATTGCTTCTAATTTTTTTTTACAAAATCATGCCACCATAATTTCTGAGTGCTTCATTTTATTAACCAAATCATGTTAAAAGATATTTTACAGGAACATAAATAAACAATTCCTTCATTGTACATATTATAACAACACATGTTTCATCATGTCCAAGTGAACAAATGGAAATCACTCCAAAAAAATATTTTATTTTCCAGAAATTTCAAGACTTTTATCTAAATAAGATGGGTACTTCCTGATTATCCCTACCTCCACTGAAGTTGCAAAAACATATTCATGAGACAAAGCAGCAAGTTGGCAAAACATTTATGTCGCAACCCACGGTGTTGCCAAAAAGTATTTCTGTGTATATGCATAGAAAATCTTTTTTGGCAGCAGTGGCACACAATGCTGAAGTTATATGGTTGCCAACTTTGTGCAATTCTCTATTTTGAAGCGACACACACTGCTGTGTGAATGGTGAGAATAACAGTGGGAGGAAAGTTTCCCATTATTTCTACCCCTGCCCACAGTTTATAGATTGCCTACTTTTGCAATGAGTTCCTAATGCACCAACTGAAAATAACTGCTGCCATTCACACATCAAACTGGCAAAAAATTAATCGCCAACAAGTTCACATATGTCGTGCTACAAGTACGTTTCACATAAGCAGTACAACAGTAACAAGTTTGATTTTTTGTAGGAAGTGAGGACATCAGAAAGTACCTTAAAATGTTACATTTTTTAGCACCCTTTTCAAAGTGTAACATTTTCCCCTACAAAGGAAATAATAAACATTTGTCAAAAATTAGAACTTAAAACTGAATGGTATACTATAGTACTCAAATATGACTCGTACTAATTTAAAAAAAAAAAAAAAAAAAAATTAGGAGACTTTCAGTGAAGCAGAAAATTTTCAGTTCAATAATATTATTAAGAGAAAAGTTACCTTAATTATTGTCTTTAATTCATAAATCAGAAAGCTTATCTAATATTCATAAACTAAATAACAGTTTTATTAAGTATTTAAAATTTTAAAGCTCAAATCAATTTTAACGCATGAAATGTGATACTACTACTCAGAAATGTGAATTACATCATTTTTGCCCAAACAGTTTTTCTTATTAGTACAAGAAGATAAAAAATAAGTAAAAATGAGGTAAAATATAGCCTGTCTAGTTAAAACCACATTCAACTTTATTAATTCCTCATATTAATATCTATTTTTGTATGAGAGTTATGTGATATGCGCAGCTCTCCAACGCACATGAAGTAAGATATATAAGGGAAAGAACGTGCAGAATAGGCAATATTTGTGTCATTATTTCTGCCAAACGAATTATCGGTGAAAGTTGGTTTTTGTCCCAGAGGATACATGTAATAGGAGAGAATGCCAGGCCGCCGTCAACGAAGGCACTTCCAGCAGATAGACGATTTTACGAGGGGTATGGTGATCGGAGTGAGAAGTGCGGGTTGGTCCTTACGTCAAATCACAGCTGATACCCACATCGATGCGAGCATGGTGCATCGCCTATGGTAAACATGGTTGGAACAGGAAATAAGGGAAGAAGAGGGGTGAGGGTGCAGCCAGAGTGACGTCAGCATGCATGGATTGACGCATCCGCCGACATGCTGTGTCGGTCCCACAAGTCACTTGTACCACGATTGTGCAAGATACCCTGGATGTTCACGTGTCAACCAGAACCATTTCACGTCGATTGGATGAACGTGATTTGCACTCACGGCGTAAGTTAACCCCTTAACGCATTTGCCCGTGTGAGACACGGGCGAAAGTTTCCGGCAAATTTGCACATGCCCGTGTTTCACACGGGCGCCCTTGTATCTCGCGTTATTTTATTTCTAATACTTGTCTGAGATCCGTTCCAGTAAAAATAAATAGGCTAGATTATAATTACACTTATTTGACCATAGATGGCACTCACTATTCAGCATTTTTCTTGTGTAAACCACGTGTTATGCATTTTGATGATTAGCTATAAGTTTGCTAGGAATTCTTTGCTATAAAGTAGTCGTTTGGTGTGGAAAAGGTAATATATCCATTTTTATTATGTAAATTATAATAAAAGTAAGCAGTTAACTGCAAATTATATTTTTACTAAGTGTTTTTGTAATTTAAAAAAAGTTATCTGATAATGAGCGACTCTGACGATGACAATTTTGAATATGCCAATTTATCAGACAGTTTCAGCGATGAGAGTGATGATTTCTTGAGTGATGGAAGTGAATCGGAAGATAATGACAACGAGATTTTGGATATAGCAAGGAATTGGTATCAAATTAGTATAAATCAACCAAACGTTGCACCACCGAGATTTCGATTTGAAGCTAACCCTGGCTGTTCTGCATATATATGATTATGCATGAATATGATTATGCAAGAAAAAAAATAGGTGATTTTTTGACCGAAAATTAGAAATTAATGTGTGCCTTAAGGGGTTAAGAAGACTGCCATTGACCCCACAGCATACACACTAACATTTAGCAGGGTGCTGGACTGGAGCGATGTGGATGACAGAATGACAAAACGTCGTGTTCTCAGATGAGTCACACTTCCATTTATCCAGTGTCAGTCGCCGCATACGTGTTTGGAGTCGACGTGGAGACAGATCTAATCCGGAAGTAACTGTGGAACGCCCCCACCACACAACAACGTTGCATAATGGTTTGGAGCGCTATTGCCTACGATTCCAGGTCATCTCTAGTTCGTATTCAGGGCACTATGGCGGCCCAACGATACTTGGATAATGTACCATCGCTGTCCATGGTGTTCCTACATCCTACTGAGCCGACGCCGTTCTCGCTCTTTATTCTGATTATCATTTTGAAATAAAGATCACTTCTTGCTGCTTGCTGTCTCTGTCTTTTTTCCAAATTTCATCACTTTCTGACCACTCCTTCTTGGTGTTGCATTTTCATTGTCGAGCAATGTAAAAGCGTCGAGTCGTATTGTCGAGCAAATGAGCAATGTAAGGTTAACTTTTGGTTTTCTTAAAAAAAGATTTTATTGAATTTTAATACTTTGTTTCAGAATTATAGTTTATCATGTAAGATTTTGTTTAAAATAACTCGCACTAAAAATATTCAGCTTAAATTTATAATTGATATTTGTGGTAAAGAAGTATTTTAAAATTATTATTTATGCTTTACTTTTATTTGTATTTAAATTTTATGTTGATAATTGTTATGTGTAAGCCATCCCGGCATTTATGAAAAAAAGAACTGCAAGCTGAGTTTTGAATTTGTTGCCAAGCAGGCGCGTGAAAATAAGTAATAACTCAAACTGACGTAGTGTGATTTGATTATACTGCTGAATTGGCAAAGATTTTTTCTTAGTTCTCGCCATCCAGGCGTGTGATAGATAGTAACATCATCCCGACGTATTACAGATTGTATATTCTAAAAGTTGAATTGCCAAACTGGCAAAAATTGTTTTTGTTATCGCCAACGAGGCGTGGAGAAATAGTAAAATCGTCAAACTGACGTGGGTAATTGCCTAACTGGCAAAGGTGTTTATATAGTTATAGCTAAGGAGGCTTGTGAATAGCGAGTTAAAACATCAACACGACGCAGTATTATAATATTTTGTGCCAACCTGGCAAAGTTGTTTAAATAATTCTCTCGAATTGGTTAGTGTGGATTTCGTATTTGAGAAATTAAGTCTCGCCAGAAATTATACATTTTTAGTACAAGTACGATCTTTTAGATTCAATTTTAAAAGGAAGCCTAATAAACGTAACTTGTGTCAACATGTCATTCTTAGCTAGGAGTAAAAAACAGGATTTAAAAGTATTAGCAGAAGAGTCAGGTTTAACCGTGAAACCTGAATTTAAGATTGCTCAGTTGCATAAACTGATAACTGAAAGTCCTGATTGTGATGAGGAGTTTACTCGAGAACTACTGGCTGCAATTAGAGAAGAAAGGGAACGAAAAGAAGAATGCGAAAGAGAAATAGAAAAGGAACGCGAAAGAGAAGAAAGTGAAAAGGAACGCGAAAGAGAAAGAACGCAAAAGGGAAGAAAGAGAAAAAGAACGCAAAAGAGAGGAAAGAGAAAGAAGAGATTACGAAAGAGAAGAAAGAAGAGCTTGAAAGAGAAGAGCGAATTAGAGTCTTTGATCTACAGAAACTTCAGCTGGAAGCAATGGCTGCCACAGCACAGCCGGTAGAAACTATGCAGTTACCTGAGCAGCCTTTAAAAATCAGAATTCACGATGTCATGCCACGTTTCAACCCTAAAGAAGATGAAATAAGTTTATTTCTGGTGTTATTTGAGCATCAAGCTAAAATAATGAATATACCTGCTGAAAATCAAGTGACTCAACTTATTTCATTGCTGCCTCCTGACATTGTTCAGCTTATTGCTGAAGAACCAGAAGAGGACACGAAAAGTATGAATATTGTAAAAACTTTACTGTTAAACAATTTAAATTGAGTGCGGAAAAAAAAATTTCGACAACTATTTAATAAACCCCAAAAATACTGAAAGTACTTGGTATGATTTCTACTATGAATTAAAGAATTATTTAGAAGGATGGCTTAACGGATTAAACATTAAAACTTTTGAACAGCTAAAAGATCTCATGGTGGTTTGATCAAATAAAAAAGCACACTTCTCCTGATTTCAAAGTACATTTTATGGATCAATGAACAACCATCATTTCACCTACTGAAATGGTTAAGAAAATTGAAGATTTTGAAGATGTGAGAAAAACAATAAAACCGAAATTTTCTGTCAATCAGACTGAGAAAATTAACAAAGGATTATTTAAACCGTGTTATGATAATTTTGTGAAAAAAATAGAGCATATGCCTCATTTTAAGCATTCTGATAGATGGGATGATTCAAAATACAAGAAAGATCATCAGCAAAGGAATCAGTTCCAAAACAAAAACCAAGAAAATTTATATGACAAAAGATATTGACCACGTTGTTTCGAGTGTGGGTCATACGAACATTTTAAGCCTCAGTGCCCTTGCTTAAAACCAAATGAAAAGATAAATTGCGTATTTTCGAATGATGATTTATTAAAGACGTATACAATTAACGGTTTAGTTAATGGGTATGAAATGCTTATTCTTCGAGACACAGGAGCCACAGTAGATGCTATTTCTCGAAAATACGTAGATAAGGCAAAAATGATTGGAGAACATGTCTGGGTCTCTTAAATGACCATTTAGTGTGTCTACCGTTAGCTGAAGTTGAAATTAATTGTGAACTTGGTCACATAAAAACAAAGGTAGCTGTTGTTACAAATGATCCTGGCAGATATGTATTGTTATCTGCCAGGATCATTCAGGTAACAAAACTGCTCAGTTGTTCAAAGATAAACAGTTCTTAAATTTAGAAAGGATAAATGCGGTTTTGACACGATCTCAAGTTAAACGATCTCGAGAAGGAGATCGAAGTAAAGACACCGAAATGGGGGAAAAAAAAGAACTGTCTGTTATTGAGTCTGACAAAGATATTTTACCGCAAGCTGATGAGAAAGACAAGGAAATTAAGAAAATAATTAATGCTAATTCAAAGGAATTAATTGAATCTCAGCATCAAAGCAGAGATCTAATCTCAATGCTTAACGAAGCTAAAAGTGAAAATTTTGGAAATTATTTGAAAATAAAGGAGAAAAAGAAATTAGATAAAAATGGAAACGAAAGGGAAGTAATTATTATTCTTGAAAAATATAGAGATCAAATGCAGAACTACACAACTTTGATTCAGAACCAAACAAATAATAGTACTAAGACTCAGGGTAATTTGGTCAATACTCACCCTCCTAAAAGTCAGGCTTCTGTCAATGCTTCACGGAAATCTGACAAACAATCTAAGCGTTCATCTCTTGATGAGAAAGCTGAAGTTATTTACGTGGAAGTTGACTCACCTTATTTACCTGGTGATTCATCTTCTATGGATAATGTGTGTGATTATTCCTCTACAAGTTCCCCAGTTTCTTCTTCTCCAAAAAGGAAAGATGTGTTTGACAGTTTGTTAACAGCAGATCAAAGAACTTCTGATAAAAGAACTCATGAAGGTGCTTCTAAGGCTAAGAAATTAAAAATACGTTCAGGATCTATGCACGCGTCAGAAAACTTAGCAAAGAGGCACAAATATGATGAAGGATACTCAAAGTTGCCACATTCAATGAGAGTGCAAGTAGCAGATAAGAACAAAGATTCATCTCGCAAAGAACAAAAACCATCTGACAAAATTAAACGATTCTTAGTTACAAGTTCCAGATGAATTGCTAGGTTCTGGAGTTGAGATGCAAGTCAAGGAGAAGTTTTTAAAGAAACTAAACAGACAAGAGCGAGTTATTGAAGAAGAAAAACTGCCACAAAAGGCTTTGGCACACTCACCTGATTTCAATAAGGAGTTTATTTTGCAAATTGATGTTTCAGACTCTGGTGTGGGTGTCATTTTAGCTCAAAAAGATGACCGAGACAATGAACATCCAGTATTATACCTCAGTAAGAAGTTCACAGAAACTGAAAAAAAGTACTCTACCACAGAAAAGGAATGCGCTGCCATAATATTTGCTGTAAAGAAACTTCAATGTTATTTAGACAGGCATACTAAATTCCTCATCATGACTGATCATAATCCCTTAGTTTGGCTCAAAAATAATGTAAGCCTAAATCCACGACTTATGAGATGGGCACTAGTACTACAACCCTAAAATTACACGATCGTTCATCGAAGTGGTAAGAAGCATAAAAATGTAGGCGCATTAAATCGTACTCCCTGGCCTGAATAAATAATTTGTTTCTCTATATAGATAAAAAAAATACTTTGTTCCTTCCTCTCTTCCTCAGTGTATCTTACTATGTTATATCTTGTATTTCAATTCTGTATTGTGCTGATATTGTTGTTTTGAAAAAAAAAAAAAAAAAAAAAGTAAATTTTAATTTATAAAAATATAAATTAAAAGTTTATCTGGAGGGGGGAGAGGTTGTAATATCTTGTTATTTAATAAATAAATTTAATTATTGTTGAAGTGGCAACGCCATGTTTGTGTTAAACCGTTACTCAGCAATGTGAGATATTGTTTAAAAAAAGATTAAAATTCTAAAGATTTTACCAGCTAGGAGTAGTATGAAATTTTGCCACTTAAGAATTGTATAAAATTTGTCTATCACCAAGAACTAGAAATAAAATTTATGTTCTACTAAGCAGATTGTCTGTTTTGTAAATTACTGCAAAATACATTACAAGCCATATAACTTTGGTGTCAAAGATATTACATTGAGGAATTCTAAATACACATATATCTTAAAATAAATTTTACTTAATCTCTCTCATCACTTTCTACAGAGACCTTTTGCAGTAGAGCAGCATAAACTCAACATAATGACATAACTTATTTTAAAACATTCATCCATTCTAAGGAAAACAGAGCAACAAAATAACATTATATCAACATTAAACTCGATTTTATTAATGCAGATGTTGCTATAAGCAAACAATAATGCAAGATAATGAAGAAAGAAAAGGAAATAGAGAAAATACTTAAGTAATAATAAAATAAACTTGGGTTAAAAGCCAGGCTTATATGATTTTTAATCAAAAGATGCATCCTTGTTAGAATAAATAAATAATGATATACAAAATATAACAAATTCAGTCATGGGAAAATTACTAAAATAGTGATTTTATAAAATACAGGTCAGATTACTTACTGGGAATCATTGCAACCGGTCGGACTTTGAGCGATGATCCCATTACGATGAGTAGATCACAAACATCTTTATCATTAGCTAATGCTTCATGAAATTCATCCGATAGACCTTCTCCAAAGAAAACAATATCTGGTTTCATTATACCTCGATATCCAGCTTCCGCAGGGCAAATGGGACAATAAGGGATTCTCTGAAAAAATTTAAATAATTTTAATCATGATTTTTCAATAAAGCAAATTTAAATAATTTTAATCATGATTTTTCAATAAAGCATCTATATAGCAACAAAACAAAGGGATTGAATTTAAAAAGAAAATAAAAATATATTAATATGAAAAAGTACAAAGCAAACATTCTAGACATACTTGACTAAAAATGTCATCTTTTATGACAGATGAATCGACCCTATAGCCACAAACAGTACACGTTGCAGTGGCAAATGAACCTGAAAAACAAAAAAATTGTAAGCAAAATTTTATTACACAGAAACAGCATTATTTATAAATAATTGGGTATGTTTTCAACATTCACTAAAACTTATGTTTTTGGACCACCTTCAATAATACATATAGCAAAAGAAATGCATGCATGCAAGTACCATACACAATAAGTAGAACAAGTAACCTTATTTTGGCATAACTTTCCAACAAATCAAATGTATTACCCCCCTTCTGTTCTTGAAGAGGAGGAATGTGTCTTTTATTACTTCAGAGATTTTTATTCAAAACCCGCACCTAAATAAGGTTACATTTTTTTGCTTAATTTAAAATTCTGAATTGGCATGTTTTACTACCATTTGATTACTACACATACATTTGAGCATACATGGATTTATACACTTTAACCATAAAAACAATACAGAAACTAAAAATCTGCATCCTATTAAACTGAACTTCTTAAACAAAATTTTATAGAATTGTAATGCTAAGAACAAGTGTTAAAATGCAGGTGGGTTCGTTTATTTAATAAAATAATGATTGTCAAGTTCTTCAACAGCACTAGAATTTCAGAGGAATTTGCCACATAACAAAATTAACTTTTCCTTGTGAGCATTCAAGACGGACAATCATAATAGATGGCAGAAATCCAAAATCACATTACGGAAAAAACCATCACCTTTTAGAACACAATATTTCTCTGAAAGCTAGCACGATTTCTCAGGAAACTCATAATAATATAAGACTTAATCAGTTAACATCATCGGCCATTTAACTTAGTGATGAATGACCACCTGAAGTGCAAACACAACCACATGCGTACCTGGTTACAAATGGCTGTGACTACTTAGAACCTTTATAATTCAATATGCTGTATATTATGACAGGTGTACTTAATGCATTCAGAAATAGAGAAAGTTTTCATTTTTTGTCACTTCTGTTGCAAGTGCATCATTTTTAACAGTTTTTACTGCTATTCATATGCTGATATAGGTCAACAAATGCACACGGAGAATGCTAAGAAGTGTGTATAGAGTTGGAAATCGTATGCAAGAACGGATTGCTGACAGAGGAGCAAAGGTTTGGTTTTCAGCGTTGGTATCGAAACATCTGTTCCACCAAAGTAGGTATATTTTCAATAGAATTCAATGCATCAAAACATCGGTTACCTGGCTTCAGTCAGCAATATAAAATTTTCCCAAGATACTGACAGCAATGTTTAAGCTGGAAAATAATGAAACATGCACTCGCATTCAAGCCTTTATTGGTAGAACTGGCTTTTCTAAATACCAATTCTCCAACATGACTGGTGTAGATGAAAATGCAATGATTATAGATAATGAATCTAAAACAACTCATCAGAGCAGTGTCTCACCAATGTACATTTCTTTCATTGGGTACGTAAGTGCACAACCAGTATTTTGCCTGAATGGAAAGCCAGCCACGCTGCTTATCATCACCAAGGCAAGAAAATAAGACTAAATGTATATCAGACATTTACGGTCCTGAAACTGAAAATGTAAACTACCATCTAGGAGGAAATGGATCAATTTAATGCTGACATTTCATGAGGTGGACAAAAAAAAAAAAAAAGATCTGTTAATCTAGAAATCAGTCATCATTTACTGTATTAAGATATGAAGAATTTCTTTGCAGAAAAAAGTAGATTAAACAATGATTCTCTTAGGAATAACTATTTCTATATTCTTGATATTGCAATAAACAAACGATTCAAGAACCATTTATGCATGAAAATCGATAACTACAATGAAGAGAAATCTTCACAGAAAATCTGTAAAGACAAACCTGCAGGAAGTTGTGACTTAAGTGACAAATTCACAGGATAAAATCACCGACAGATGTTTTACCAATGCATAATGGACATATGGATGATTTGCTCATTTAAAGACAGCTCTATTTGGGCTAATGGTTCATACAGGAACTGAAAAAGGCACCAGCACTAGAAAACCACAATTATAATTTCCAGGATCTGGAAAATATTTATATCCATGTTGAATAAACTATTGCTCAATTGGGTAAGATGCAGAGAGGAACTGTACATCACCACCTTCTGACCTAGCAGATGACCCAACAAACAAGAGACCATTTCATGGAAAATTTGATGGTCTTACTGAACAGTTTTCAGTAGTTGTAAAAATGTCATAGATTTTTATTTTTTCCCGTATAAATTTGTTTTTTAAGATTCTATTAATTATTATTTATGAAAACAGTAATGATTAGCAACAGTTTTTCACCAATTCATAAAAGTAGCCAACAAGTTGGTCATCCAACAGTACACTTTGTGTATATTCTGAGCTATGAAATCATCCCGGATGATTGCTCATCCGACCTTATGCTGCACACTTAATTAGGCAAACCAATAATTAATTGTTACTCATTAGTACACTGTGCTTACACTCCGTGTGCATCTTTCCACATCATCTCTTCTGACAAGGATTCCAACTAGATTTCAATTTAGTGAAGCGGCCAGCAGGCTACGAGCATCTCACGGACTTTTAGGGTTAACTACTTGGACTTATTCTTGTTTGGACCAGTGTTGCAAATAGCTCACGTCAGTTCCTGAGCCCAGGTGAAAATTCGTTTTTCTCCTCTCAGAAGAAACTCAATAAGAAATTTTCTGATACCAGGGTCCGCATGGAACTATTTGTATGACTGGGAAGTATTGCTCCGGCAATAGAAACCCAGTACAATACAGTATATCGCAGTATCATCTTCACTGACTATGTAGATGATTATAAAATCCCAACAACTGTTTTTGCTTACATGATCCCCCCAAAAATTTAGATACTCTAAAGGTGGCTATAACATTTTACATCAGAAAAATGCATTATATATAATGCTGTTTTGAATGAATTGAGGGTTTTCTTTAATGGGGAGAACAAGATAAGTTGAGCCTAAAAATTTTATATTGACAAGAGAAAATTCTAATCAATAAGTAAATTTCTAAAATATTCATTAGATTTTTTTTATTTTTAAATTTAAAAA